CTCTCCTGACCCACCCGCTGCTCCCCTCAGCAGTGTACTTCGTTGATCTGCCTGTTCTGCTCCCCACTCTGTCTCTGGTGAGGCCTCTCGCCGCCCCTGCACCTCTGGCCTGTACCCCAGTTCTGTATGCAGAAATAAATAAATCTTTAAAAAAAAAATATATAGCCTTTGGAACCGCCCTGGTGGTGCAGTGGGTTAAAGTGTAGCACTAAGAAGCTAAAGCCATTTCAGCATGAGTTCGATCCCCGCCCCAGAGATGATCCACATGGCTTGGCAGACTTCTCCTGACCTGCCTACTGCTCCCCGCAACAGTATACTTTGTCCTTCTGTCTGTTCTGCTCCTCACTCTGGTAAATACTCTCACCACCCCTGCACCTCTAGCCTGTACATAAATAAATAAATAATAAATAAATCTTTTAAAAAATATATAGCCTTTAATTAAGTAATTCCACTTATATAAACTTACACCTGTGCAAAGCTTGATGGGTTAGAATAATCAAAGCTACACTGTTAATCAGATGAAAAATGGCAACAAATGTCTGCAGAAACGGTTAAATCTGCTGCATCTAGCTAATGAAGTTTTCTAATGTCTGCAGAAAAGGGTTATGTCTGCTGTATCTAGCTAATGAAGTTTTCTGCAACCACTAAAGTATACTGCCACAGAAAGGCCTTTCAAGGAATACTAAGTGAAAAGAGAAAGGCTGCATGACAATAATAATTGTCATGATCACTTGTCAAGTATGTACTATATTCTGAGCATTTTACCTGTATTGGCTCATTTAATTCTCAACATAACCCGATGATCTCCCTATTGTTATCCCCATTTTATAGCTAAGGAAACTGAAGTACAATAACATCAAGTGACTTGCCCATTGTCACAAAACAAGTGTCAGAGGCAGTGCCTCACTTAAGATCAGTATTCTTACGTGGTTCTATTCCAATGTTAAAATATGTATAAAATGTATGTATACATGTGTGCACATATATAGCTGATTTTATGCATATATTTGCATGTACACAGAAAATGACCATAAGCTTAGACTTTCTTTGAAGAGTAAGTTGTGGTAGTGTTTGATATGTTGTAAATATTTTCTGTGTGTTTGCTTTTGTTATGCAGGACATTATTTTAACTTTTTTCACAAAGGGTATTTCTCAAAATATAACTATAGCTTGTGTTTCTTGTGCTACTAGCAGTCAAAGAAATGAATCATTTTCTTCATTGTTAAAAGTTAGACCACTCTGGCCCTCCCTGGTGGCGCAGTGGGTTAAAGCACAGCATTGAGAATCTAAAGCCGCTTCCTCATGAGTTCGATTCCCGCCTGCCCTGGAGGTGACCACATGGCGTGGCAGACCTCTCCTGACCCGCCCGCT